ATAGATGTTCTTTTAAATTTTATCTTAAATGAGATCATTCTAATTCCAGAATATTCTAATTTTTGCTTATTTTACAGGTGATATAATTTATGAAATATAAAAGCAATGTTAACTATTTTTTATTTCAAAGGAAGTTAATATAAAGTATGAAATATCAGTTACAAACTAGATCATTGCTATTATATATCAAAGACATGATGGCTTTTTTATAGTGTATACTTCTCAAAGTAGAAGAAATATTGCACTCTTAAAGAAACTTACTATAAACAAATAAAAATCTATCTTTTGATAAGTTATATCAGTTGATGTTTGGGACTATGCTTAATTACTTGCCAGTTTGTTAGTAAATAAAATTATTTTAATTTGTGTAAAATGAGGTTTTTAAGTCTGTTACTATAAAATAATTTATATATAAATTTTGTACTATACATTTTTGCCTTTAAAAAGTTTGAGATATGCATGGTTTATGCAAATACTTGATATTAAAAAAAATAAACTAATTTAAGTTCAAAATTTTGTAGTTTGGAAAAACTTATGATGTCATTAATATTTATCTAATTATATAGTGATGTTTATAAGACTTTGTAAGTAAATAATGCTGTTCTTTGAGATATACTCATTTTTTTCTATTTTAAATGTATTCTGTAGTTAGTTCGGGTATTATTTTAATATTTAGAGGGAGAATCAGTTTTATTTTATTAAATACGTCAAAGTCAATTATGACACTCTGGTTTGTCTGAAAGAATCTAAACTCTGTTTTAATTCTGGAAGTTTTACCCAGTCAATGTTGTTGTTGTTAATCCTCACCTAAGGATATTTTCCCATTGATTTATAGGGAGAGTGGAAGAGAGAGAGAAAGACAGAAACATCAATGTGAGCAAAACAAATCAATTGGTTGCCTCCTGCACGAGTCCCCCCACTCCCCCACCAGGGCCTGGGAGGAGCCTTCAACCCAGGTACCTACCCTTGATCAGAATTGAATCTGGGACCCTTTGGTTGCAGGCCAACACTGTACCCACTGAGCCAAACCGGCTAGGGCCCCAGTCATTTTAATGGTTATAAACCACTGGCATTTATAAATGTTATAATTGGTGGGTAAAATACAATATATTTAATTTTCATTTTATTTGTACTCTAAAATTCCTTTTGGTTTGCAAGTGGTGTAAAACTCAGGCTTGAAGGAGAATATGAGAAAAAAAAATCACCTAGTTGGCTATATTCAAATGTCAAAATAATATTTAATTTGTAAGAGGTTTGGTGTCACTTAGTCCAAGCAGGATGTATGGATGGAATGTCCTACAATTAAAAAATAAAACTAGGGCAGTACTTTGTAGAATGAATTTTTTAAAAATTATCTGCAAATATTAATTGCTTGAGTTATTGAGGGAATTTAAACAAATAGAATTTATATATGAATTACTTAATCTTTTTGCATAGGATCTTTAATTCATAGTAAATGAAAGCACCATGGTTTCTAGAAAAACTGGATATGAGGCGATACACATAATGGGCAAATGAGAAGCTATTCACAAGACGACAGCCAAAGTCAGGCAGACTGTCCTTTCCCCACTGTGTATTCTTGGCACTCTTGTGAAACATAGTTGACCACAAATGCGTGGGTTTATTTCTGGGCTGTTTTGTCAATATTTGGGCAAAGTTTTATGCCAGTATCATACTGTTTTGATTACTATGGTTTTGTAGTATAGTTTGAAACCAGGAAGTGGAATGTCTCCAGATGTGTTCTTTCTCAAGATATCCCTGGCCACTTGGGGTCTTTGGGTTCCATACAAATTATAGGATTATTTTTCTATTACTGTAAAAAGTGCCATTGAAATTTTTACTAGAATTTGTTAAATTTATAGGTTGCTTTGGGTGGTATGGACATTTTTCCCCCCTAAAATACGTTTTTATTAATTGTTTTAGAGAGAGAGGAAGGGAGAGGGATAGAGAGATAGAAACATCCATGAGAGAGAAACCTCATCAATGGGCTGCCTCCTGCGCCCCCCACCCTCCACCCCCCTAAGGGATCGAGCCTGCAACCTGGGCATGTGCCCTGACCAGGAATCTAACCAATGGCCTTTTGTTTCCTAGGTCAGTGCTCAGCCACTGAGCTACACCGGCCGGGCGGTAGTATGGACATTTTAAAAATATTATTTCTTCCATGATATTATTCTGTTAACAAAGGCTCTTTCCAGTTGTATCGTTTTTTCTTTTATCAATGTCTTATGCTTTTCAGTGTACAGATCTTTCACCTTCTTAGTTAAATTTATTTCTAAATATTTTATTCTTTTTGATATTATAAATGAGATTTTTCTTAATTAAACAATAGTTTATTGATAGTATATTGTTAGTATATAGAAATGCCACTGATACAAACAGATTATTTAACTTCTTCCTTTCTGATTTGGATGCCTTTTTATCCTTTTCTTGCCTAATTGCTCTCTGGCTAGGACTGCCAGTACTTTGTTAAATAAAACGGGCATCCGTGTCTTGTTCCTGATCTCAGAGGAAAAACGTTCAGCTTTTCACCATTGAATATGATGTTCTCTGTGGGCATGTCTTTTATGTATGGCTTTTATTATCTGGAATTCTATTTGTAGCTTTTATTATGAAAGGATGTTTAGTTTTCACTAATGTGTTTTCTGTATCTTTCGAAACCATTATATGTTTCTTTTCCTTTATTCTACTTAATGTGGTGTATCACATTTATTGATTTGTATATGTTGAACCATTCTTACATCCCAAGGTTAAATTCCAGTGGATTGTGATGCATAACTCTTTTAATGGGTTGTTGAATTCAGGTTGCTTATATTTTGTTTAGGGTTGCTAATATTGATGAGGATTTTTGCACCTATGTTCATCAGGGATATTGGCCTAAATTCTTTTCTTGTAGTGTCCTTGTCTGGCTTTGGTATGAGGGCAGTGCTGGCCTTGTAAAACAAATTAGGAAGTGTTTATGGAAGAGTTTCTGAAGAACTGGCATTAATTCTTCTTTAAATATTTGGTAGAATTCACCAGTTAAGTCATTTGGTCCTGAGCTTTTCATTGTTGGGAATTTATTTAATTTTAAATTAATTTAGTTATTTTTATTGTTTAAAGTATTACTTGTCTTCTTTTTTCCCCGAGTGACCCCCCTCAGGCCACTCCCACCCCTGAGGACAAGCCCCCTCCACCCTAGTGTCTGTGTCCATTGGTTATGCTAATATGCATATATACAAGTCCTTTGGTTAATCTCTAACCCAGTGGTTCTCAACCTTGGCTGCACATTAGAATCACCTGGGAATCTTTTTAAAATCCTGATTTCTGGGCCTCATCCTCCGGAAATTCTGTTATGGGTGGGGCCACAACATTAGTAACAAAGAAACAGAATTTCCAGAGGATGAGGCCCAGAAATCAGGATTTAAAAAAGATTCCCAGGTGATTCTAATGTGCAGCCAAGATTGAGAACCACTGGTCTAAAGTAAG